CCCAAATTTGTGAAGGAAAATGAGGATGCGCATTATACAAGGGTAGTACTAATTCTGTATCTATATAAATGTTTTTAATTCTTTTATTTACACTTATGAGTTAAAAGTGTAACTCTAGAAATCAATAATGATATCCATATGCAAAATAATACCCTGGAATATGATAATTGGTTTTGTTGAACTTACAATGAACTTGCAATGATGAAGAGTTTTTGGCCTTCTATGATGCATAAATATTGTACATTAGTCACCAGTACATAAAATTTCTTGTACTTTGTATCTGTTCTTGTGTTTTATAATTATTTGTTACATAAAATTTCTTGTACCATAATCTGTTAAAAAATAAATGCTAAAATTCTTTTATAGTACAAAAAACAAGTACCTAAATATAAACAAATAAAAATTTGAATTAAAAAACTAAAACGAAAGATTTTTTTCCCTGAAAGTCTGGGCCAAAATTGTGGGTGTGCATTATACATGGCAAAATATGGTACCTCTGTTTTTCTTTTTGGTGCCAATCCGGTGTATCACAGTAACAGAATGGGAGAGTCAGAAGCTTGTCCAATCTCCTTTGGGAGATCTGCCCTGTTCTGGATTAGGCTGTGGAGTGTGTGACTTTTAATCCAAAAATGTGCTCCTTTATACAACCCATTGAATGATACAGATAGTGGAGAACCTAGCTGGTTTTCTGCATATGGTCTTCTCAGCTTTAGTTTCCACTTCTTATCTTTTTGTTTATCTTCCAGGGAATTTAAAAGAGAAATTGGGAGGAATCTCAAAGCTATCAGGAATGGCCAGTCTTCTGCCAAGTTAACTCAGTAGAGTTTTAAATGGGGAGAAAAAAGTATTTGCACATTTAAGAATTTCTTTTGAGAACTCTTTTAAGTTGATGTCTTTTTACTAAAGACTTCCTGTTTAAACCAGATAGTCTTATTTCTACATATACTTTAAAAATAAATGATAAATATGCAAATTCAAAAGTAATAAATGAAAAGCACTAGGACTTTTCCCCCTGAAGCCTTAAAAACATTCAAGAGACAAAGAGCTGTAATTGAACCTGAGATGATAGAGAAGCATAAAAATTCAAGAAGGACTGAAGTGGTTCACTGCTCATGTTTTTAATTCAAATCCCCATTCTACCACTAAACATCTGTGACTTTGGAAAGATACTTTCTCTCTCCAAGCCTCAGTTTCTTCAATTATATAATGGAAATCATACTTCTTTTCTCCCTGGGGCAGCTTGGTGGTGGTAAAGGCCAGGGGTATTTATCCTGAAGGCTCTGGAGTCAGATGCCTGGATTGCAATGTTGGCTTCACCATGCACTAGCTGTGTGACCTTTGCTACATTAACCCCTTTATGTCTCCGTTTCCTTTTCTGAAAAATGAGCATAATAAGAGTACGAAGTGTGATCACAAAATACAGTGAATGTTTACATTTTAAAGTTTGTTACAGTAAAAGACACATTGCCATTAACCCCCCTCAAAATATGTCCCCTCATTTTGAACACATTTATCCCATCATTCTTGCCACTTTCTGAAGCAGTTCTGGAAGCCCTCTTTCATGAGTATCTTTAGTTGCGCTGTTGTGGCTGCCTCGATGTCCTGAATTGTTTTGACTCAGGGGAAGAGCCAGAAATCACATAGTGCCAGATCTGGTGAATATGGTGGATGAGGACACACCATAATGTTTTTATCTGACAGAAATTGCCATACGAGGTATGACAATTAAGTTCGCGAACTCATCCTAGTAAAGCACTACATACCTCATTGCTGAATATCACTATGGTCACCTTTGAAGTACTCCCCTTGGGAAGTTATGCACTGATGCCAGTGCCTAGTCCACCCTTCAAAGCAATTTTGGAGCTCTTTTTCTGGAATGGCCATCAGAGCTGTTGTCGTATTACCCTTGATGTCCTGAAGGTCATCAAAATGTCTTCCTTTCTGTATTTCCTTCATCTTTGGGTAAAGAAAGAAGTAATTGGGTGCCAGATCAGGCAAGTAGGGAGGGTGTTCCAACACAGTTATTTGTTCACTGGCTAAAAACTACCTCACAGGCATTGTCATATGAGATGATGCATTATGGTGATGCAAGAGCCATGAATTGTTGGTGAAAAGTTCAGGTCGTCTAACTTTTTCACACAGCCTTTTCAGCACTTCCAAATAGTAAACTTGGTTACCTGTACAAATTCATAATGAATAATCCCTCTGATATCAAAAAAGGCTAGCAACATCCTTGCAACAAGTTCACGAACTTAATTGTCCGACACCATATACCAGAAGCGATGTATGACACGGAGCACTGTCATGATAGAGGGTGATTTATGGCACACTTTGAAACACACTTTCTCTCAAACGTAGCTCACACCCGACTGATTGCACTGAACAAGTTAAAACTTGTCACACACTGTTATTAAGGTTCAATGCACTGCTTCCCATGTTGAAGATCCCTGCCTTTCCGCTGATGGCACTTGGCAGCAGCATTCACCTTATTGTTTGATCACAACATAAAGGCTCTGTGTCACACATCTCTTCCGGTGTGGCAATTTCTGTCAAACAAAAACATTATGGTGTGTCCTCATCCACCATATTCAATAGATCTGGCACCGTGTGACTTCTGGCTCTTCCCCAAAGTCAAAATGACCATGAAAGGTAAATGTTTTAAATCAATGCANGAAGGAAGGAAGAAGGGAGGGAGGGAGGGAGGGAAAGAAGGAGGGAGGGAAATAGAACAATAAAATGCCTAAAGTTAGAAATTTGGGGGAACACCTACTTTCAGGGCACTTGAAGAGAATAAAAAGGAAAAACATAGAACAAGTAAGGAGAGTTTGCCATGGAAACTGAGGGAACAAGGCCATTTATTACAATGACACTCAGGTTATTTAGTACATTTGTTTTTATTAATAAAGTGACACAAAAAGTAATTTTAATAACCATTAAATTGTTTCCTCAGCATTCTTTTGCATGTAGGTTCAAGAGTTAATATTCCCTGACAAATAACACTGTGAGCAGAAAGATCCGAGGCTCGTTTTACATCTGCTTTACTTTAACCTTTCTACACAGGAAAAACAGTCCCGATGACTTTGCCCAGTTTTTAAACTTGGAATTGTCTTACCTGGAACTGAAAAGCCCTCACACACGATGCGAAGAATCTCGTGGTGTTGAAACTTCGGAAACCTGGCATGGAATTTTCTTCTTAGATTTGAAATTCACCTAAGAAAGATCTACACTTAGTACACAAATATGGGGATGTGTTCAACCTCGTTACCAATCCAAGATACACAAATCAAAGCAGCAGTAAGAGAACCCGAATAGTTTGGAATAATGCTGGTTTCTAATGCTGGCTGCTTTGATGTTACTTCTCCTTTGAAACAGCGCTGGAGGTTCTAAATGGGGATAAACTCTATAAAAAAGTAATTTGGCAATGCATTTCAAGAACCACAAAATACCCTGGCTCTGTAGTTTTTGGACTTGGATTTGAAATCTATAAAATAAGAACAAACAACGACATGTATAAGTGGTTTTGTGTCACCTTTATTTACAAGATATCCAGTGTATCTAGAATGGCTATTAATTAGTTCAGTGGATTACTGAGGTTGGTGTCCCTAGAAGCAGAGCCTGAGATGGGGGTTGTTGTGCAGTGATTTAGTGAGACTGCTTGCAGGTAAAACCTACAAGAGAGTGAGAGACCCAGGGAGGGACTAAAGAAGAAGCAAGTTGACTATGTGGGTTCAGCTAAAGTCCAGCCTCAGCCGAGCCCACAGGGAGCTCTGGAGTATGAACACCTCCATAGATTGTCCCACCTTGAACAACGGTCTGGCATTTTCTCCAGTGTCAGTCATTGGCTGAAGGGTAGAATCATCCCTGCATTTCCAGGTGAGGCAGCTTCTCTCGCTCTGGGGAAGGATTCAGCTCACAGCACCTGGGGGATGGCTGCAGTGCTCTGGTAATGGGGGTCTGGACACTGGTAAGCACCCCTCTCCTCTCCAGGTTGGAGACTATGATTAATAGGTCAAATCCATCTCAATTATAAAGTTTAGTACTCATATAAGGCAGAACTCCTGGACTCCAGTTCAGGTTTTATCAGCCTAACCTTATTTAGTTTTCTTCTAGAAACAGAATGCCCTTTTTATCTGCAAATGGCTTCTTCCAGTGGGAACTGCTAAATTGTTTCTTCGATATTCCCCATCCCCTTCTCTCCACCCCACCATCTACCACCACTCTGGTCAGAAATAGCTAGC